TGCCCCCATAATGTTTGAAGGCGCCAAGAACAGCGCCAGAGCGAGCGGCAGAGGCTCCGCGAGGGGACGAAGCCCAGGGAGCAGTTCAGCGCCGTGCGAGAGCCATCCCGCCAAGAGGACGACGAGGAAAGAGCGCCAGTGGATGCCCTTGTAATTGAAAAGAGTGGGGGCTTGCAACCCCCAACCTTCAAGGGGGGCGGGGGGGCGCATTCGGACCCCCCCCTTTCAAAGAGGGAGGTGAGGGTTTCACCCCCCCCCCCTTTGGCTCTGGAGAGGGGCGGGGTGGGAGGACGATTTCGGACCACCACCCCTCCCCGCGCCGGAGCGCTGGAGACTGGGTGGTAGGGTTAGGGTGCCAGGGTTAGGGGTTAGGCTCAGGGTTAGGGTGTTAGGGTGGAGGTCTGACTGTGCGGGTGTAAGGGTTCGAGTGTTACGGTTAGGGCGTTGGGAGGTAGGGAAGTATGGTCAGGGTTAGGGTTTAGGGCAGGGTTAGCGTCAGGGATAGTATTTAGGGTTTGGGTCTAGGGTCTAGGGTTAGGGGTAGGGTTGAGGGTTCGGGTTAGGGGTTAGGAGTCAGGAGTAAAGTCCGGGTTCAGGGGTTAGGTTAGAGGCAAGGAATTAGGATTAAGATGTCAGGGTTAAGGTCGTACGGTGCGGGTGTGAGGGTTTGGATGTTACAGTCAGTGTGCTGGGGTGTAGGGAAGTAGGGTTAGGGTTCGGGATTAGGGCAGGGTTAGCGTTAGGGTTAGTATTCAGGGTTACAGTTTGGGTTTGGATTTAGGGTTAGGGTTAGGGTTGAGGGTTCGGGCTAGGGTTTAGGAGTCAGGGGTAGGGTTAGGGTTGAGGAGTTAGGAGTTCGGAATGGGGTAGGGTTAGGGTCAGGGTTAGGATTCGGGTCAGGGGTTCGGATTAGGGGTTAGGGATTAGTGTCAGGCAGGGTTTAGGATTAGGGTCAGGGTTTCGGGACTAGGTTAGGGTTAGGGGGTTGGGTGAGGGGTGAGGGCAGACGTTAGGGCTAGGGCTTGGGCTTAGGGTGAGGGGTGAGGGTTGGGTTACTGTTAGGGTTAGGGTTTTGGGTTCGAGATAAGGTGTAGGATTTTAGCGTTAAAGTTAGGGGTGGGTTGGGGGGGTCGGGTTAGGAGTCGGGGGTAGGGGTTAGGGGATAGGGTAGGCGTTAGGGTTTAGGGTTAGGGGGTAGGGTTAGGGTGGGAGTTAGGGTTACGGCTAGGTGCGGGGTTAGGGTTAGGGCGAGGAGTTATTGTTAGTGGTTAGGGTTATGGGGTTACGGATTAGGGTAGGGGTTAGGGTTCGGGTTTAGGTGGTAGGGTTTGGGTGTCAGGGCTGGGGTGTCAGGGTTAAGGTTTTGGGGTTCAGGCAGTAGGGTGGTAGGGATCGAGTTCTGGAGCCAGGTAGGCGGCATGGCCAAAGGGGGGGAGGGGGGGGTCCGATTTTCGATTCCAAAGGGGGACGGGGGGGTCCACACCGCGCCCCCCACCTTTGAAAGGGGGGAGTGGGGAGGGGTCCAGGACGACGGATCGGGAAAGGGTGGGGGAGGGCGGGGCTCCGCTGACGACGGACTGGGGAGAGGAGGGGAGGGGGGGGGGTCCGGACCCACCCACCCCTCTGGGGCACCCAGCGGCGCGCCCTTTGGTGCAAGCCGCTCGCGTAAGTCGCGCGGAGCCCTCGGACTCCGATTGGTCCCTGGTCTTTGGGCGGTGGCTCCTTCGGGTTTGCCATCGCTCGGGTCAGGTGTATCTCGGCTGGCGAAGCAAGACTGGTTGCCAGTAGATGTATTATTGAACAAACAATCCTCCTCCTCCTCCTCTTCCTCCTCCTCCTCCTCCTCCTGCTCCTCCGCCTGCTCACTCCTCCTCCCTCCTACCTCCCTCCCGCCCCCCCCCCTTCCTGCTTCTCCTGCCATCCAGCCAGGCACCGCCCTGTTCTGCCGGTCCCAGGGGTGTCTCACATAGCGAGGTCTCATTCGTTTGCCCCTGGGTTGGGTTTAATTGTTGTTTCCGGCCCAACTTCGAGATTCCAGTGCATTTTCTTGCAACGCTGTAATTTGTAATCGAAACCCTCCCTCCTCCCTCCCACCCAGACATCCGACGTCGCGATTTGTTCACATCGTGGCCCCCCAGAGGTGTGTTCCCCTTCTTGGGAACTGGCGTTTCACCTTGGGTTGCTTTTTGACGATCCCGAGGCCTGGTGAGAGCCCCCAGAGGAAGAAAACATACAAAAACCGTCCGTCGTGGATGCTTCAGGACGCAAGAGTGTCAGGGTACTTCCCTTCCTGTAGGACCCCAGGACTACCATACTACTCTACGGCAGCGGCTCCCTCCCCCCCCCTGTTTCAGAGCCCCCGAGGACCAGCGTCAGGGTGGTTACCTACCTACCTACCTACCTGCCTCTGGGACCCCAGTGTCCCCCGCAGCATCCCAGGACCAGGACTACTACGGCATCGGCTCGCGGATGGCGCGCTGGAGCGCCACGGTGCTCATCGGCACCCCTTGGGGGGGGGGAAGCCATGCGGTGCGGGGCGACGCGGGCCTCCTTCGGGGGAGAGCGGCCACCCATGAGCAGATGGTGACGGGAAGAGTGAGGGCGAAGACCCAACCGGCGGGGAGGATTTGCTGTCGGTGTCGGTGCTGATGCGGACGCTGTCCGTTTGAGCCGAAAGTCGCTTGCCCAACAGCGGCCGCTGAAGGTTTGGGACAATTTTTTGCCGTTGGGTATCGCGGCACTTCCTCCTGAACCCATTTCTGGGCGTGCCAGGTTATGGAGGACGAGGATCGGATCGGATCAGATCGGAAGGCCGCGAAACGATTCCACCGGCGAGCCACAGCTGAGGGCGTGCAGCCGCCACCTGGCAGCTGCAGGCTGCAAACCCGCCAACGGCGGGAAAAGACCACGAGAGCAACAGCTGATCTCGGCTCCCACGATCAAGCATGGAGAGCGCCTATCGAAGACGCAATCGGCTCAAGAGCCCGACATCCGAAAAAACGCGGTCCGGGTCGGAGGAAGAGGAGGAGGAAGAGGAAGATCGGCGGCAGGCACCGTTATTCTGCGCCCTGCTGGGCAACTAGCATTTTCCCATGCTGTTTGTGTTTGGTTTCTCGAAGGGGCCTGCCGCCTAATTCGCCTGAATCTGTCCAGCACAGCGCCAAGTCGGTATTCGTTGCACCATGTGCCACACAAACGCTGCGAGCATCATGCCTAGAGCCTGGCCAACGTCAAAAAGGAGGAGGAGGAGGAGGCTTTCGTATGAGAGTAGGGAGGAGGAGGAAAAGGAAAAGGAAAAGGAAAAGGAAAAGGAAAAGGAAAAGGAAGAGGAGGAGGAGGAGAAGGAGGAGGAGAAGGAGGAGGAAGAGAATCGAGGTTCGAGGATCGAGGTTCGCGGATGCAGGTGTTCGGGCGTTCTTCTGTCTTTGTCTGGGCTTCTGGGACCTCCAGAGCCCTCTGGGGACTTCATGGGAGCCTCATAAGACCACTGGAGACCCCTGGAGGCCATCAGGAGAAAGATCACCTAGGAGGATACGGAGGGGGGAGGAGGGGGGGAAGGATCGAAAAAACGCGGGCTGAGTTTTCCTCTACTTCGGCCTCTGGGGGTTCGCTTTGCTTCAGGCCCCAGGGTCGACAGATATGAGGATGGGATATGAAAAGCTGCCACAGGATGGACCCCAGGAGGAGGTCCAGAATTCTGATGTGAGCTAATTTAGGTCGGCGGAGGAGGGGGAGAGGGGAGGCTTGAGCTGTTCCTGCGGGTTCTAGCGGGTTCTACCGCTTTGCAGTGGATTCCAGGCGGCACTTGGAGTTTCTCCGTCTGTTTCTCCTTCTCCCCCATCCCTTTTTCTTGTTTTCCTCGTCTTTCTCCTCCCCCCACCTCATCCTCCTCCTCCTCCTCCTCCTCCTCCTCCTCCTCCTCCTCCTCCTCCTCCTCCTCCTCCTCCTCCTCCTCCTGCCGCTCCTCCCCTTCCTCATCCGCCTCCTCCTCCTCCTCCTCCTCCTCCGCCTCCTCATCTTCCGCCTCCGCCGCAACATCATCATCATCATCATCATCATCATCATCATCATCATCATCATCATCATCATCATCATCATCATCATCATCATCATCATCATCATCATCACCATCACCATCATCACCATCATCATCAGCAGCAGCAGCATCAGCAGCAGCATCATCATCATCCTCATCATCATTATCATCTTCATCCTCATCAGCAACATCAGCATCAGCAGCATCAGCAGCAGCATCATCCCTCCTCACATTCCCCACAGGTCCTCCTCATCCTTCTCACTATCATCCTCTTCCACCTTCTCCCCCATCAACCTTACCAACATCAGCATCATCACCATACTCAGAATCATACAAGTCACTACCTTCATCATCGTCATGGTTTCTCATCCCGTTCCCAATCATTATTCCTCCTCCTCCTCTCTCTCTCTCTCTCCTTTTCTCTCGGCCTGTGGGTCCACCGGACGTGGCCATCCCCCCCCAGGGGCAGTCGCCCGTGGGGGGGTGATCAAACTAAGCGTCCCTCCCATGGCGGCACCGTATGGTGCGCCAGGCGGGGCCAGCGCCCGCCGGCGGGCCGCGGTTCTCTCCTCCACACCCAGCTGCTGCGCAACTCCTCCCTCCCTCCCGGCGCGGGCCGCGGCGGGCCCAGATCAAGCACCCCCCCAGGGCCGCCGGTCCCTTGCCCCTGTGGGAGGGCGGCACGCTCACCCTCGAGGGGGCGACGACGATGGTGGCGCCAACGCTGTCGTCTGGTCACAGGGGGCGGGCGTTGTGGGAGGGGGCGAGGAGGTGGCGTTGGTGCTGGTGCTGGTGCTGGTGCTGGTGCTGGTGCTGGTGCTGGTGCTGGTGCTGGCGGTGGTGGTGGCGGTGGTGGCGGTGGTGGTGGTGGTGGTGAGTCGTGAGGTAGGTGCTGTGAGGGCGTAGTTCGAGGGGATGACAAGGCTGCGTCGGGGTGGGCGGAAGGGTGCCGCCGGGCATGCCGCTCAGCCCTTGTGCCGCCCTGAGGCCCGTCACTGTGTGAGCGGGGGCCTCGTCTCTCTTCGGGAGCCGTGAGCCGCGCGGCCCACGGGCGAGGGCCGTTGGGCAGGGTGCAGGTGGCAGTCGTGGTGCTGCTGGTTGCGCTGGCGATCGTGGGGTGATGCTGCTGCTGGTCACAGTCGTGGCGTCGTGGCATCGTGGTGCTGCTGGTGGGCGCAGTCTAGGTTATGATGTCGTCGCAGGCGCGGTGCACGCTGCGGCGCTGCTGGTCGCAGTCCTCGTGGTAGTGCTGGTCTCCACCTTGGTGGCAGTGCTGCTGGTGGTAGTCGTGCAGCTGCTGGTCGAAGTCGTAGTGCACGTGGTGCTGCTGCTGGACGCTAGGGTGGGGCGCGGAGTAGGGCGTCGTGGTGGTGCTGGTGCCGGTCGCAACCGTGGTGGAAGTGGCACCGCTGGCCACAATCGCAGTTGATCGCGGTCGAGGTCTTGGTGGTGGTGTTGGTCCAGGTCTTGGTAGTGGTGCTTTTGATCGCCGTCGCGACGATCGTCATGGTGCTGCTGGCCGCAGCCTCTGGTGCTTTTGCTCTTCCGCCGGTGAGGAGCGTCGGGAGCCAGTACTCGTGCCAGGCTCGGAAGCCACGTGGGTCTAAGGGGTACGAGCGGGGCGTGATGCTGCTGCCGGTCGCAGTCGTTGGTACTCGTAGCGTTGCTGTTAGTCGCTAGGTGGGGCGACGGGTGAAGCGCGGGATGGGGCGTCTGGGAGGGAGTCGGGGAGGCCATCAGACAGGGCGTCGGGGGGAACGTCGGGTATGACGTCGTGCGGATGGTCGGCGAAGCACACCTGTCACAGTCTTAGTGTCTGCCGATGGGCGCGTAGGAGGGCTGGTTCCGCTGCTGTCTTGAGGGCTGGTTTCGATGCTGGATTCGGTCTTGGAGTCATGCTGTCGTGGATACGGGCTCCAGAGCTGGAGCCGACACTGTCCTCGATGCGAGCGTCGATATTTGCGTCGGTGCTGGCGTTGACGTTGGGGTCGACGGCGTCGTAAGTGCCAACGCCGGTGCAGACGTCGATGTAGGCTCTTGTGTTTAGAGTCGATGCTGTCTTCGGTGCTGGTGTCGATGCTGGCGTCGATGTTGGCGTTGGTATTGGCGTCGAAACTGGAGGCAGTGCTGGTGTCGATGTTGCCGTCGATGCTAGCTTTGAGGCCGGGGTGAACGATGCCTTCGATGCGGGCGTCGGTGATGTCGTCGTTGGTGGCTTCGCTGCTGGAGCCAGTGCTAGTGTCGGTAGCGACATCGCTTCTGGTTGCAGGCCCACTTCGCCTTGGTAGGGGCCAGGGGTACGTACCCCATGTTGTTAAGTCGCCGTGCTGGGATGCGTGTCGTCGATGCGGGGGTCGATGCTGGCGGGGGTGCGGGCGTCGGTGCTAGAGTCGATGCTGCTGCTGATGATGACGAAGATGCTGGCTCGGAGTCAGTGCCGTCTTCGATGATGGCGTTGATGCTGGGGTTGATGCGGGCGTTGGTGCTGGGGTTGATGATCGGGTGGGTACTGATGTCGATGCTGACGTCAATACTAACTGCGGCGATGGGGTCGCTACTGTCGTCAGTGCTGGTGCCGATATTGGCGTCGTGGGCCGCGTCGGGCTCCTGTGCTGGAGTCGGTGCTGTCCTCGGTGCTTGTGTCGACGTTGGCGTCGATAATGGCGTTAAGGTCGGCGTCGATGCTGGAGTCGGTGCTGATGTCTATGCTGACGTCGATACTGGCTGCGAGGCTTGGGTGAACGTAGCCTTGGATGTTTGCGTCGATGCTGGCGTGATTGATGTCTTGGATGCTGGAGTGAATACTGGTGCCGATGCTGGCGTCGCTGCTGGCTCCAATGCTGGAGTCAGTTCTGCGTTGGATGCTAGCGTCGATGCGGGGGTCGATAATGGAGTGGGTGCCAGCGTCGATCCTGGAGTCGATGTTGGCGTTGGTGATGATGCAGTTGCTGGCTATGGTTCTGAAGTCACTGCCGTCTTCGCTGCTAGCGCTGATATTCGGGTCGATGTTGGGGTCGGAACTGGCGTCAATGCTGGGGTCAGTACTGGCGTCGATGCTGACGCTAGTGGTGGCTGCGGTCCTCGGGTGACTTCTGTATTCGGTGCTGGTGCCACTGGTGGCGTCGATGCTAGCGTCGATGCTGACGTTGGTGCTGGCGTCAGTGCTGGCTTAGGTGCTAGAGTCAATGCCAGTGTCGATGCTGGCGTCGGTGTTGGTTCCGATATTGTAGTCAGTGGTGTCTCCGATGCTGTTGTTGGTACTGGCGTCGATGCGAACGTTGATAAAGAGGGCAGTGCTCGTGCCGATGCATGCGTCGGCGCTTGCACCGATGCTGGGGTCGACGCTGTCCTCAATCCTGGTGCTGATGCTGGCACCAGTTCTGAGGCCAGCACTGTAGACGATGCTGGCGTCGGTGTGGGTTTCGATGTTGACGTTGAAGCTGGCGTCGATGCTGGCGTCGATG